CTCCCGGTGCGGCGGCGGCGGCTGGCGCTGGCAGGTGGCTGGGGGAGGGCGAGCCGGGGGAGAAACTCCGCTCCCGCCGGAGGGGGGTCGGAGGGGGCCGCGGGTAGCTGCCGGGCCTGGTTTGCCTCAGGAATCCCTCACGGCCCGGGCAGGCTGCGGGCGTTCCGCTGGGGTGAGGTGCGGCCCCGTCCTCCCGGCGGGGGAAGGGGCTGGTGGGAACACCTCGGGTCTGCAGCGTCGTATCCAGGGGCTAATTAGGGCTTGCACGTAGTTAGTTGGGCGGGGCGCGTGTAGGGGTATGTCTGGGCGAGGGAGCAGCGCGGAGGTGGGTGGGTGCGGGTTTGGGGGGCAGCAGCAGCAGCAAACAACACGTAAAGGCGAAGCGAGGTTATCACTGAACAAAAGAGGGAAGAGCAGCTTTCCACTTGTTACCGGAAACGAGTGCGTGCGGGGTTATTAGTGCACCGAGGGAAACAAAACTTAGTAGACTGATGATTTGCTTGCCTAGTGATAATTCCTTTTTTTTTATTTTTTTTTTTTGACGGCAGGCATCCCCATTATCTTGTTTCTCGGAGTTCTAAATACCTACACAGTGGCCTGCTGGCTCGTGTTCGTAACTCTGAGGTGGCCTCTTGCACTTCAGAGGGACAGCGTGTTCTGCAGGCCCTGTTTCTTTGCAGTGTGCTTAGGGGCCCCTAAGCTCTTATAAATGAGAACAAAATGAATGTAAAAAAAAAAAAATCACACACAGATTATGTGTGTTGACATTGGTTGTTCTTAAAAGCTTTTTCACAACTTTTGTCTAGCATAAATGTTTTAATTTTTTTGCTACCAGACTTACATAGTGCTACATTGTATTTTTTGTTCTTTCTGTTCAGGGATTTATGTTTAGGGATTTCTTTTTTTTTTTTTTTCTTTTGGTGCCTTAGGAATACTATGTATCTATTGTGATTTCTTTTAAACTTTTTCTTTTCGTCGACTTCCATTTTGTAAGTTTTTTGGAGGTTTTTTATTACATCTTGGTGAAGAGCAAAATTCAGTAGTTTTCCCAATGGTATGCTTTATGTTTTTCACCTTGGGCTACAGGAATGTTAAGTCTTTGACAACAGGTATGAAAGCTGCCTAGTCTCTCTGATAGCTTATCAGTTCAGGCTACACACAGCCTCCTGAAATGGTTGGGGTTTTTTTTGGCAGTCGACCTTTTGGGAAGCCCTCTTTAATTTAAATGTGTTGTGTTTCCTTTGATAACGTTGGAGGATAGCATGGCTGTGTTGCCAGAGACTTGCATTATTATTTTACCTTAGGCTATTTCTTTAGTACTTTCTGGGTTTGGTTTTCTTTTGTTGAAAGTCAGAACTCTAATTCATCCCCCAGATGAGGATGCAGTTTGAAAATGTTGTGGAAGCCCAAACTAAAATCTGTTTAACTTCTGAAAAAAATAGGAAGTTCTTGGCATAAAAGACCACTACAGTCTCTTTATAGCATGGTTTGCTTCTGGCTATATTCCTAGTTTGATGCAATTTTATTTAGTGGTTACTTGTGAGTTGTATACCTTACTTTTTCTCACTCAGTTTTGGAAATTTTTGCCATGGTTTTCGATGTTCTCTTGCAAAAGAAAAGGGTTTTTTTTAGGTGTAATAATTTGAAACTAAATTCCTTTTGTCTTTGTTTAGTTTCCGGTTTGTTTATAAGAGCATTTTGTTGATCTCTCTGGTCCACAGAAATTTCATTTGATGTTTTATATCTCCATTGTACATGTGGACTAGAGGTAATTGTGTTATTTCTCAAATCTGTTCAAGATGTTTAGTCTTGTGTCTTCTCCTGTGTTGGCTAAGTGGTTGTTACATGACAAAAGTCATGACAAATTAAAAGGTGATTAAACAAAGTCAGCAATTTCTCATTTCTCCTTTGCATTGTTGAGCACAGTTGTCTGCTGGCTTCTTGTAAAAATAACACAAGTCTGGAGTACAGTAAAATTACAGGGATGGTTTTGAAATACTATTAATTGCTTTGTAAATTGCATCTGTCCCTTGACAGTGCTTGATTGTAAAAAGGGAGGTATAGTTTGCAGAACATGAAGGTCAGAAGTGCTGCTTAGCACTTAAAGACGGTCTTTTGGAATGGTTGTGATATTAATGAACAGAAACTCTTTTAATTCCAGTGATATTGCATCTTGAGCTCCATGAATGCTTCCAAATTGTCTTTGTGAATGTGCCTTATAATTGCTCGTGCATAAAGTCCAATAGAGAGAATATATGAGCAGCACTGAATAAACAGATGTTATTTTTTTTAAAAAGCAAAAAACCAAACCAACCCTCCCAAAAAACCCCATACCCCAACAAAACCAGGCCAAGCCTACAGCTTTTATTATGAGCTGGATGATACCTTGTGTAAATTATTATTTAAGTGGCTTGGAAGCTACACATTTCTGATTGCTGGAGAGTAAGGAATGTAAAGTATGTGTTAAAATGGAATGTGCCTATGATATTTTGCTAAGAGACCATCTACTAATAGACCTAAATTGAGTGTAAAGCAACATGTTAACTTGTAGCTCTAAATGCCTTGTGGCTTCTTCAGAAATCTGAGGGCTGAAGCGTGTATATTTTCATGTACAGGTAAAAAAACTGTACGTGACAGGTTTATAAATCGCTAAGTGCTAGCAGGAACCACTTGTAGTGCCAAAGTGTCTGAGAGAGTCAGTAATACGCTGGTTACTTGTGGAGAAAGCATCACTTCAAAATAGCTGAGTGCTGTTGTGAATCTGCTTCAGAATAGACTTGAAGTGGAAGGATACAATTTGATTCATTTCTGTGGTTGGTAAAGTGCTCATTCTGGCTTGTGTAATCAGGTTAGAAATAGAATATAGGCTGTTAAAAAATGCAACAATGAAGTTTTTGTATTGGTGAATGTTAAATTGCTACCTCTGATATTTGATTTTGTGTGTGGAGGTAAATAGTGGCTTTTTTCTCTTTATCAGATCACCCAGAAGACACAATGAGTGTTAAAGCTTTCAAGCTTGTTTCTGCTGTTGAGCGGGAGATGTTAATGGGAGACAAAAATCACATCAACATCGAATGCATTGAGTGTTGCGGAAAGAACCTTTATATTGGAACCAATGACTGCTTTATCTATCACTTTCTGTTGGATGAGAAGATATCAACAGCTGGAAAAATAACTTTTGCTGCCACCAAGCAACTGCATAAATACCTAGGCTTGAAGAAGCCCGTGAGTGAGTTGAAAGCAGCCTCTGCCCTTACCAGGCTTCTCGTCCTTTGCGACAACACAATAACACTAGTTAACATGATGAACTTGGAACCTGTCCCCACTGGTGCTAGAATCAAAGGAGCTGTGACATTTGCAGTAAATGAAAACCCTGTGAGCGGGGATCCTTTCTGCGTGGAAGTCTGCATTATCTCAGTCAAGCGGCGGACCATTCAAATGTTCATGGTGTTTGAAGACAGAGTCCAGATAGTGAAGGAAGTGGTTACTCCAGAGCAACCCTGTGCTGTGGCTGTAGATGGTTATTACTTATGTCTTGCACTTACTACACAGTATATCATTCTGAATTATAATACTGGCGTCTCCCAGGATCTGTTTCCTTATTGCAGCGATGAGAAACGGCCAATTGTGAAAAGGATAGGCAGACAAGAGTTTCTGTTGGCTGGCCCTGGAGGCCTAGGTGAGACTAAGGATTTTAATTTTTTTTGCAATTTTTTTAATTTCTCCCTGTTAGTTTCTCTTAGTTTGGGAAGCACAGCTTAACTAAGTAAACGTCGTGCACAATAATGATGATTTTCTTCACAGGGCTATACTGGAACGCTGAGATAAAAATGTAAATGGTAAATTTTTGGCACTGAGTTTTAGTATAACTCTCCTACTCTCTTAATGCATAAAAGTCTGATTGTTTGTCTTGTCATCCTGTCTGTAGAAAGCTTCATTTCTGTATAGACTGCTAACAGTAGTAGTATGTTGCAGCCCAGAGTAAAAAAAACTTGGTTGGTACCATGTGAAACTTCAGAAGCTGATGGCCTCTCTGTAGTGACTAGCTGGACTGGGTTTGAGGAGCCCTGTGTTGCTATAAAATTGTTAAAGTAGATGAGTTAATTTTTTCCTCATTTGCTATTAAGAGGAGTTCATACGAAGTCCATTTTATAGATTGTAACAGACTACCAAGCAGGTATGTTGTACTACAGTGCTAGTAAGAAATGTTAGTGGGAGTAAACTGTATCCTCACTCCTAGAAGTAAACTCTGTCCTAATTGTACATGTTGTCAGATACTACCCAGGTTTTATGCTCCCATTTGCTCATTTTTTCATAGTATTTTTCAGCTCTGTATTATAGAAAATGATAGTGTAAGTATTGCAAAACCAAAGTCAGATCATGTGAAATAATGCCTTTGTCTAATAGACAGATGATTGTAAGGGCTACTGCTGCTGTAATCTGTCTAAATCAACAATACGCTGTGAGGTCAGTAATCTTGAGCTTTTTTTGGAAAGCTGCACTATCCCAGAGCTGACAGACCGTAGGCAGAATGCTTTCATGCTGTTTGCCATATGACTCTCCATTAAGGAAATGCAGTTTATGTGTCTTCCCTGACACATTAGGAATAGTATGACAC